ATACCACTTATTTGATAACAGTTATTTCTGAATAAAGCTTATTGATTATAATTTTTTGTCCCAAATATTATTGTAACATCTTTTTACAATCTAAAAATATAAAACGATATCAAAAATTATTTTCGTTTACAGGGTGAGCTACAAATAAGTAAAGATATGTTTATTGTTCTAGAAGGTGAAAATAATTACTACAAAATAAATTATTGCTATAATTATGATGTTAGCCACTGCTATTTTCAACCTCTTTCTTACCTTTCCTGTTTCTCTTCTCATATACTGTTTTATGTTTTTCTTCATTCTCTTCATTTTATTTATAATTTCTTCTAACCGTTCTTGTTTTCTTTCATCTTTGTCATTTATCCTATTTGCTACCATTTTTTTGTTCATTCCTTTCAATTTCTTAACCATTATTTCATTGTTTTTTATTTCCCTCATCATTAAGGCAAACATGTCCCTAATTTCATCTTCGTTCTTTACTTCCTCTTCTTCACTCTTATTTTCTTTGATAACTATTTTTTCTAGATCCTGTATTTCCATTACTTCCACATTACTTTGTCTTATTTCTCTAATTTCTTCATTCTGTTTATCTTTTTCATTAATTCTTTTCCCCCCTCGTAAATTCATGTTTAAATTTAATTAACAATATAATTTATAAAACATTTAAAATTCATGTAGACAATTTAGTTTACTACTTTTAGTATCTTTTATTGTACGTTAATGCTTTTATGGTATTAAAATTGCTTTTTTCAAGTATACAATCTTGAATAGTAAATAAAAAAGAAATTGAAAAACATTCGAGAATTAAAAAATTGTGACAACTGTGAATCTGACAGTGATAGCCTGTCAATTTGACAGCTTTACATTGAGCGCCATTTGATATAAAAAAGAATGTTTAATTAATAGTAATTTGTTGTTTCTCCCTGTAATGGTTAGCTCACAAAAAAAATTGTTTAATTATTTTTTATTGATTTTGGTTTTGATTCTAGGTTGTGTTCACTCACTTACATTTTTGCCTTCATTAATTCCGATATAAGAAGAAAGAAAAATTAAATGATAACTTACCTTACTAATTTCTATATAAATTTTCAAATTCCAACTATATTTATATCCTATATTCTTTATATGTTTGGTCTGATCACACTAATTATAATTTAAATAATAAAAAAAAATTTAATTTATTAATTTAAATCTAAACTATCCCCTTCATCTTGTATTTTCTTCCTGGCAGCTCTGTCTGCTCGCTACTTACTTACTCACGGCAATTCAATTATCAGCACTCCATCGAATGTGTAAAAAAATTAGTCATACTCAAAATATCTTTTTATCTCCTGTTTATTAAAAAACAATCTTTAAACAATAACAATTTTCTTTACAAATATTTCCTATACAATTTTAAAACTACATATATAAATCTGACAATTTTTCTCTATCTTTGACAATTAAAATCCAATTTTTTTTCAAATCTCTTCAAAATTGACTTTTACTCGAAACATTGATTTTCTCATTTTTTAGGACCCAACATAGTATATTCAATCAAATTTTAACTTACCCAAATTACGTCAATTATTTTATCATATGAATATATAATAAGTATTATGCAGTCGTCATATGGCATCCGAAAGCCACACCATACATCGATGATTTGCAATAAAGGATAAAACCTCTGATAACAATTATGTATTTTGATCATAATGGATATCAATTATTAAAAAATAATTAATTAATTTGAAATACATATTACATTAAGACTATAGAAACAACAGAAAGTAAAATATGTATATATCCAGGTAGTTCGGGTAGTGCACGCAACACATCCAAATTAGAATAAAAGAGGTACAAGATTAGATCCCTAAGGAACGCCAGATGTAGATTTATATTTTAAGATCTGTATCTATTATGTTTGATGTGTTGTGATTACTAAAACCTTGTGATAAATTTTACTTGACCTTGCTTATCCAAAGCAATAAAAAGTATTGTATTATTTATATCAAATAACTGATGAAAGATTTTATTACAAAAGAAATCAACATCAGCATCATTTGTGGCAATTAGATTTGATCTAATTAACCCACCTAGAATTCCAACCAACAACAGAAATCCTAGAGAGACAAACTGGGAAAGGTATTCGACATCACTCGAAAAATATATAGAAGAGGGCATAGTAGAAATAACATGTAAACAAAATAATAAATAAGGCTATTAAAAGGAAAAGTGTAGTGTTTATCAGGAAAAATGATAAAACTTGTACAAAAACCTTCGGGAAAACATTAATAACGCTCATAGAAGCACATTTTCAGACAGCCCAATAAGAGCACACAGGACTCAAAGAAAGTACTATCACCGTTCCTTTGGTCAATCCTAGTTGACGAACTCATAACAAGAGTAATATCTGCAGAGATAAATAACTTACAGAAAACCCTTACAAAATCACATTAGTCAACTTAACAAAACGAAAAGGTACTGACAGAACTAAAGTTACTAGTATATTGAAAGGGGTGAAAATTACTTGGGGCCATCTTTCAAAACAGGTTAACATGGAATCAACACTTGCAAAAAGTGACCTAAAAACGGACAACATTCTATATCTTATATCAAAGGCTGTGCAGAAAAAATTGGGGATTACAACCAAAAATGTCTCTATGGCTGTACGATGTATACTATAGTCATTAGGCCTGTGATAAACCACGGATTGACGGTGTGGTTGCCAAAAGCTTGATAAGCTGGACATTTTCGACAATTCAACGAAATTCAAAGACAACGTGAACCAAAGACTCCAACAGCGGCCCAAGAAGTCATGCTAAACCTAACAGCACTAAACATATTTATTTAAGGCGAAGCTAGGTACTTACATACGGACTGCACAAAGAATCATCACCCTTGAGCAGTCTGCATGAACGTGACTACAGCGAGCTGTACAAAAAATTGGAGAAATATAAAATAATAGGAATATCTTCAGACGAAATTCTCCCAAAAAATAGCTTTCAAAGTCCAATACAAAGTAAGTAAATCAGACAAGGAAGCGTGATCAGGAGGTTCTCATAATAACGCAAAAATCATCTGGACAGACCGATTCAAGGCCCGTAAAGTGTCAGGAGTAGGTATATGTATATAGTGCCAAGCCATACACAAGAATCTTACTGATCTTAGGTATACCTGCGGCAGTATTTAAGGCAGAAAGAGCAGCAATACCTCACTTCGCAAAACAAGTATTAGGATTAAATGAAAAAAATATTGTTATATACTCAGATAGTTAACCGACGCTTGAAGCACTAAATTTAATGCAAGTAAACATTAAGATTATGTGAAACTGTTTGGAAGCCCTAACAGAGCTACTTAGTCAAAACAGAGAAACCTTATCTTAGGTACAAGGCCATAAGGGAAATGAAGAAGCTGATTTACTAGTCCAAGAAGGAGCATCAAAGCCTTGTATTGGCCCATTACGTTTCTGTTATCTCATGAAGACAGCTGTCAAAATATGTACCAAGCAATGGATCTTAAAACAATCTTAGGAGTGGTGATAAAAAAACACCGTTATGGTGTTATTTTAAAGACAAGCCAAAAACACTAGAGTACTAGTAGGTCTATAAAAAAAGCATTGTAGGTTCAACAAACATGAATAACATCGGTCTGACAGAAGAGAATTTGACACATTAACAAAAAATAGTCCTATAGTTTATACAGTTACTTTCAACTTCACTCGGAGGTGTAAAGACTGGCCCTTATTAAACTAAATTTTAGTGTAATAAAAAATATTTATTTTTGATAAACTTATTGTTTTAGATTTGTGACAGCAACCATACAGTCACTTACTGCAATGCTCGTTTTCCAAGGTCGTGCCTTGATTCAGCTATTTGGTCCTGTTCGATAAATGCTGCTCAACGAACATCTAAATGGGGAAATAATTTATGGTTAATTGGTAAGTAAACAAAAAGCTTTATTACATCTGAAACTTGTTCAAAAAAATATTTTTCTCTAGAACCATGGTTATTGACACCAGAGGATTACATTGATGTTGATACTCCTGAAGGCAGGTACACAACTACATATATAAGGTCAAAAAATTGTATTGAACGTTGTTTTGGTTTACTCAAACAGAGATTCCGGTGCCTTTTAAAACATCGAGTAGGTATTACATTATGATCACAGTAGGGCTGCACAAATTATCTATGCCTGTGTAGTTTTGTATAATTTATGTTTACTACATGACATACCATTACTTAATAATGCAGATTCATATCACCTTTCACCTGTAGATATAGAAATTCCTGAAAACGTATTAAGAGATGTGCCAGGTAAGGCTTTTGGGGTTTTTGTAGGCTTGTCAACTTATTTTTTTTATTAATTTATCAATTTTTATTTTGTAGAAAATAGAAATCCATGGAGACGAGAAGGTCTTCGAGTCATTCATAGATTCAAAAATACACATTTTTTAAATAATTAATTTTCTTTAATAAAATATATAACAAACTAAAAACTTTTATTTTCACACCCTGACACATAAATCAAATGCATTTTTTATAACTTATAAATAACATTTTTGTATTTAAACTCATAAAAACAAAACAACGAAAAAAATTTTATATACTGATAGCTTATTGATATGCATATGAAAACTTTTACATAGATCAAATGCTAATGTCTATAATAAACATCTTTAAATGTAAATACTGATATTTGATTTATTTAAATAACTCATTAAAATTTTCATAGCTTCCAAATGTCTTGAAATATTCTAATTTTAAAGCAGCTCTTTTGTGTTTAATATTTTCTTTAAAAGCATCTGTAAAATGCTCTATAGCTTCAGCAACATTATTAATAGATACTGCTTTTGCTTTTTCTACATCTAGTGATATTTTTTGGACATTCTCATAAGTTTTCGTAGCTTCATGAAGGATTTGCCTGTTTTGTTTTTTGGAATTTCCCTTCTATTTTTGTTTATCTGCAGTTTATACATTTAATGGTTCGGTGTTTATTTGTTGATCGTCATTCTCTTCTACATTTTAATTTTGTTGTGAAATTATAGTTTCCTGGAGTTGATAATTATGTTCTAATAAAACAGTAGATACATTTTCCAGTTCATCTACAAGGGACGTTCCTACATTATATGTAGATACTTCTTCTTGCTCATTTTCAATTAGGGGAACTTCAGTTCTACCCATAGAATCCAACACTTCATTATGGCCTAAGTGTACTAATTCAATTAGTGACAATAATCTTTCTTCTAAATCTGTTAGGCTTTTTGTTTTAGAAGGACCACCACCAGTTCTTATTTGTTCTTTTTTTATATCTCTTGATTTTCTTCGGATATTTTGTTTCCATTCCGTAAAGATCTAAAATTATTTATATACATAGTAAAACTTATGAAGTTTTATATTTACTCCAATCCCAATCTGCTTTTAATATTAACATTTAAAATAATAAATATTCACATACTATTAACAAAGGTGCATGTGAAATAAATCACTTTTGATGCTCACATGACGCCACTGTTTCGCCGTTTTGTGGGTCCATATCCCAGAGAATTGATGTTTTTAACAAATTCCGCCCATAATTTATACATTTTTGTGTAGTCACTTGGATTACTCCTAAAAGTTCCTGCTATAACTTTGTTTCTTTGAACAAATGTCAATAGATCTTCATATTGTTTTTTTTTTGTTGTTTTCTGTAATCTCTTTACATCCATTTTATAATTTAGATACTAAAGATTTTAACACAAAATATTTCAGTTCCACTTCTATTTAAAAATGAACTGTCAAAAATCAAACTGAACAATCGTAACATTTAGGAAACACGGTATACGCATGCGCAAAATATATAGACAAAGCTTACTTCTTTTTATAACATGTTTCAAACTTACATCATGTCAATATAGTTAATTCTGTTAACATTACTGTTATATCCCTTCTGTTATCTCAAATAACATGTCTGTTAAAAATAACACAAGTTGTTAATCATAACCCCCCTAGAGAAAGTACTCCAAACAGAAATTAAATTATATTTAACAATAAATTTGAAAAGATCGACTCATATGACTTATAGTCCTAACGAACTGTAATCTGATCTGCAAATGCACGTCAAAGAAGAAAGCTTAATCAATGATTCGGTATAAAAAAATTTGTTATTTGCTTTTTGCTTTTTTATTACAAATTATCATGTTCTAAAAGTTAAAAGTATTCCTAGTAACCACATTATTTAATCTCAAGCACGCTTTTCGCTGGGATATTTTATATTAAATAACTTTGTTAGTGTTTAAAATCTTTTGTTTAAATTAGTATGCTTTTAGGCACATTATTCACATAATCGCTACCAACCCGTTTTCAAATTTAAACTCTATAAGCTTAAAATTATTTATTTAATATCATCATCCACCCCTCGACTTTGAGCTATGGGAAGTTTATTAATGTGTGGACAGAATCGAGAGTTATTTCATTGTTTTGTTTGTTGTTGCAAGTTACAAATTCGTAGTTGTTCATCATCATTTTCGATGTTTTCTCGATTCAGCCGTTTTGTGCCGTTTTCATACACCATTCCGCGTCCCTCTCTAATTAAGTTTTGCCCTTCCACGCGTTTTATTTGCGAATATAGGGGTTCCAAGGCTTAATTTGGCTAATTTAAAACAGTACAAGCTGTTCTCTGTACGTTCTTTGTGGCTTACGATGTAAATAAATTAGGTAATTTTTTGAATAGCAGAAAATTTGCTATAATTAAAACCAAGTATAATGTTTTTGCGCTCTTTATGAGAAGTTATTGATGTTTTTCCTGAAAGCCGTTATTTTGAAACGCTAATTTATTATTTTGACACTACATTAGTGTGAAATAACTAGTAAATTACTGAGGAAAAACAATTTTTTTTTTTCCTTCAAAAATTATATTCCCTTGTGTGACTGCAAAAAGTGGCACGTTGCGTTTTGAGCTTGCTCTGTGTAGTTGGTTGCAACAGCAAACAAAAAAAAACACGTAAATTTTATTAGTTATGCTTCAAGACTTTTAAGGTTTTTATCCTCATAGGTCTAATCTTTTAGCACTTGGTGGATCTATTAAAATATACATTTATTTGACCATCTTCTTACAGGATTCCTGCAAATAAATTTGTAATATTGCAAATAATTTTGTTCAATATTGTGTATTTAAATAGACAATGACATTAAAATTTTTAATCTTATAGACCTCAGCTTATTTAAATTAATAATTTTTACATTAAATTAAGGGATATGAAGTATTGGGCACCACAGAGCACAGTGCTAGGCCCCATATTATTTAAAGTCTATTTAATAATTAATTTGTATTTTATAAAAAGTGCACTTTTTTAACAAACATTTTTATACAGAGTGTGTCATGTAACAGTGGCCAATACCATCTTTCTTATTTTAAATGCAAGACCTTGTATATTTTTAATTTTTGGATTCTTCAGAACATATCGATTTTTAAACGGCAGAAGGCCCTAAGCCACACTTATGCTTATATTGAGTTATTTATACCATCCCATTTAGAAAAAAAATGGATTCTTGTAAAATTGGGCCTAAGCCTCCAACATGTTTTTAATACCTTCTATTCTCACAATTTATAGCGTAATCCTGTAGCATTCATATTTTCATATAAATACTTTACCTTAATCTGCGAAGAATTGATTTACATATACTGACTTCTTTTATCATTGTACATTAAACATGTAATTTAAGTAATAATAATTGATCCATTTCACTTCCTTGAAATGTTTGGCAAGAGATATTTCATACTTAATCCAAATAACCATTTAATTACTTTAAATATTTGATAGCAGGTATTTGGTATTCATATTTACAATACTTAAATATATCATTAGAATTGTTAATTCGTCTATTTATATCTAGAGGGCGTTAATTAGTATCTTTATTCTAAAATAAAAAATTTTTATACCTTCAGAATTATAAACACTTCATGTTGTCTAAGAACCCATTTTAGTTCTTGTAGGGTTTAAAAAAGTTTTAAATTTGTTTTGTCTTAATGTCTGTCCGTTCGTGAAATATTTTAATAATTTTAATTATTAGTTTTAGACCTACTTGTGTTTTGACATCAACTTTTTGTTGCAACTACTGTTTTTATGCATTTCTTAAAAAATACTCGCATACTTGTTTTTTCACACCGGCCCTGTGATAATCTCTAAGCTTAGTCTTAAATAGATGAGTAATACGGGTGAGTTCTTGATATTTGACAACTTTCATAATTTTTAAACCCACTTTATTAGTTATGAGCTCATTCGTTTTTACCTCTCTATTTTAGACCATACCTGATGATGAGGATCTGATCTCCTCGAAACCGGTCGTATTAAATTACTCTCGTGAGATCTTAAGGACCACCCTTGTTTTATTTACCTCTTTTTTTTTTAAATATATCACTCTGAAATAGAATCACATATAATAAACTTTGTTTAATTATTTTAAAATACGTTACCATCAGTATATGTCTCTTTAAATAAAGGAATCGTTTCTAGTAGATTTCTTTTAAAATATAGAAAAAGTATTTAGTTTCGTATTTGTTTACAATTAGATTTGTATTCCTTTTAATTTGAGGTTATGTCACTTGTCACTTACTTCAATCTATCAATCTGAATATGGAATTATTTGTCTTCTTCTTACCTCTTCTTCTTATTGTATGGCCTTTTACTGAACAGTTATTAACTTAATATAATTGTTCGTTTGTATAACTTGTTGATTTTCAACCAATCAAAAACCGTTATTCGAATTTCGCATTTAGAATTCTTTTTAAATTTAAAGTAACGTACCTTTTTTTTAAAAAAAAACTTCTGGAACTTTGTAGAATGATATTCTGCGTATTTCTTTTCTGTTCCAAAAGCCGAGAAAGCCATATCGTTAGTGAATTAAGGCCACTGTGGTTTTGTAATCCCTAATTAAATAGGTGAGTTTTAATATTTAAATTCTTAGATTCTTTAACGAACGCCGTTTTCTTCCGTCTAGATATTATTTTCGTTTTTCTTTTAAACAGGGACGTACCTACCGACCAACTTTGTGTCAGGAACGCTAGAGAGCATACAAGCCGATGACAATTTTTTTTGGTATTCCTCATTGCTTTTCGAAGAACGCAATATCTTCAACCGTTATATATTACTTCAATATTTTGGAATTGCTGTTAGCAATAAGTTTGGTTTCATTGTCGTATACCAAATGCAAATTGGATTAATCCAGGATGTATCCAGCCTGTCCTCTTTCCAATAACCTGAAGCGTGGTTGTAGCTCAGATCTACAAATAGCCAGTCTATCTACTGATGACTTTCCACTACTCCGTAAGATGACATCAAAGAACAACAGCGAGAAACCTTGTTCTTCAAACCAGGTTTTTCTTTATTAATTTAAATTAAATTTAACATTTCGTTATTATGGTCACGGCACCACTGTTCTTCAAACCAAGTTTTTTCGTTTATAATTAATTAAAATTAATATTTCGTTATTATAATTTAATATTTAAATATATAATGTTTAAACAAAAGGTGTAAACCACAAAGCACATAGAGGTTCCACGTGAATGACCAAGGTCAAAACCGACATTTTTTATGCTATTTGCTCCAAACTCTAGATGGGGCTACTGGTGAAATTATGATTTCTTACTCCATTTTTAAGCTTTATGGGAGAAAAACTAACCAAAGACTCCAAAGATGTGACATGTATTTATTTATGTTCTTGGTTAGTCTCATTTTTCCGTCTGATTTTAGTGATTTTTTGTTGGTTTTGGCTTTTGGTATCTATTTATAGTTTCGTCTTAGTTATTTGCAAAATTGTGATGTTTCGCTTTTCCTACTGTGTTTTGCAATAATTTTGGTGCTACGTTGAAAACTTCGAGAAAAACTTCATTGATTCACCATGCATCTGCATCATAAGACAAACGGGTACAACAACTAATTGATAATCAATTTATCACTGGACTAGATTCCGAAATCATTTTTCACATAAGAGAGTAATCTGAGTAATACCACCATCTGTATTTGGAAGGAAAATACCTATTTATCATTGAATGAATAGTTAAAAGGATTCACCTTTTAATACAATACCTATATTACATTTGTCCTCGGTTAAAAAGACATTTATAAAATATATAACTTTAGTGTTAATAAAACGTAATATCCTAGTCTCTACTTCACATTTAAATTATTGATAGGCATTTTAAAGATTTGAGATTATATATCTATTTGCTCCAAGTAAGTATTCGTTAAATATGTATTATTATTATTTGTATTTATTTTTATCTAATATTTATTTAAGTTATTAATAAACATATTTTAATAATGTTCTATTTTATTATTTATTGATATATCTTATATTTATTTAATAATAATATGCAGAACCAACTCTCCGCATCAGACCCCTTATAACAAATTATTTCCTCTTTGGTATAATCGACCTAAATTATTTTGTAAAATAAAAATTTCGAACTTACTAGTTCCCTACTTTATTTTATAAAATAATTTATTTGGAAATCATTTAAAATTTAATTTAAAACTACTACCTACTCCTAAAAATTACAATTTGAATTTACCGCCATCTGTCAATTGTCATTTTAGTTCCAGCTCCAAACACAAGGTGGCGCTAATTTGGTTTAAAAGTTTAACATTGGCGTGGGGTCTCTAGAAGATACGTGCTTTGTGGTGTAAACCGAACATATATATATGAAAGGTATTTCCTTCTAATTTCA